GGTGATGCTTTCTGATGTAAGGACAATAAATCAAGCATGGTAGTGGTAGCATCATGCTTTAGTCAATTTGTATTGTTGAAGTTGATGGAGTTACAAAGAAGGGAGACATTCTCCAGTTCCCTAACCTTCACCTCAACAAAACACTATGGACGCAGTTTATTGCGCCAACAGAACAAAATACTGAAACTTTTGAACAGGTCAAACAGTAATAAGCTATTTTAACAGCTTTACTCTCCAACTGTGCTGAACATTTAAAATAATAACCAAGCACTTAAAATGAGCTGTACTACTTCTGTTAAGAATAGAGTTTTAAAATCCAGTCAGAGTATTTTTTTTCCAGAGGCTTGTTGACGAGGAACATTCAGCTAAATAAGTGACGGGGGTGTATTTATACCTATATGTATGCTGTCTACCCTGTATCGACTAGAGGGAGTTCTATAAATTCAAACATGTGCATCAAGCAGATTTTTTGATAATTCTGGTCTCTCAAAAAAAAAAAAAAGGTTTAAATTATTAATTTAAAACATCAATAAAGGGAAGGCAGGTTAGTGCACAGCTTTTGTTGAATCCTAATTTCAGAACCTTTAATAGATGCATTTCCATCTTTTTATCCTATCTTCCAAACCATTAAGGAAGGACACTAGTGCTAGAAATAGAAAAAACCCTCTTCTAATAGAAAAATCGAGGCAGCTATAACGACATCTACAAACATTTCAGCTTTGTAGATGTTCTCATTTGCTTTTAAGCATTTCCTCCAAGTTATTTAAAAAAATTTAATGTGTTAAATAAACATTGGTTTTCATTGTCTTATTATACATTTCAGTAAATAGATATACTGTGTAACTAATGCAAGAAATCAATGAACTGATTTAGAACTCTGGCTGTCACAATTATCATTAACGGCTCAAAGTTATGTAAGACTTCTAAGTTTAAATGCAGTGCCCTATGCTGATGATGCTCTGGTTTACTGCAATATGTGATGAGCTGATAAATCACACCTGGAACAATATTGATGGAGTCCATCATGGTTTTCACATCTGACAGATCAGCAATGGGTGTGCTGAATTCAAGGCCTGTAGACAGCGCGAGGTCAACATCTTCCTTGGCAAACTCCTCGACTCTAGTGAAGCATGGAGGTCATTCTTATAAATCACATGATACTAAAACAATGGCGAATATTCAAGGTTCATGCTATCTGGATCACACCCAAACCTCTGACTTGAATATGAAAATAAATCATGACATGGTCATAGTCAATTGCCTTAAATGTTAGGTTTCCTATAATCACTCTTCAGTCATTGGTAGTGTCACAGCATGCATCCACACAGAGCAGCGTAATGATTACCTTTTAATGGTAGGCATAACTGTCTGTCAACAAAAATCAATAGGAAATCTATCAAACAGGAAGCTTTTATATTAAAAAATAACACATCAGCAGGAGTTTTTATACATTTGGAACTAATAATAAAATGGTTTAATTTAGTTTGTGTAAGTAAATTATGGGGGGACATTTCTCTAGGATGAGGCACCTTTAGGAAAAGTCTCTTGTCCTGACAGCGGTAAATCTCTTGGGCCGTTTCAATGAGTTCCTTTGAGGCGTCCAGGGCCTGACCACAGACCAGCAGCTGACTGTACAGGGATTCCAGTTTAGCCTTCTTCTCCTCCTGCAGTCCACTCGCCCTCTCATCATAGCGCTGTGACAATGTCTGCAGCACATCGTTGTAGTGCTGCTCCAAGTGCTGCTCTCGACGGCCAAAGTTCTCCTGGACAAACATTCAGGCAATCTGATGGGGCTGCAGCCTAACACATTAATCTCTATATTAATCTCTATATTATATTAATATAATATATATTATATATATTAATATAATATATATTATATAAGATCATGTGTAACAAATATTTTATATATGAATTTTATATATATTATACTATATAAATATATAATATTTGTTAGCCATAATCTTATAATATATTAATATAAAACTTTGTGTTTATCATATTAATATTTAATTGCAAAACATATAACTTTGCATATATTTCATCCAGTTTGAGGCCAGTTTAAATAGTTTCTAATCTGAATAAATATGTGTAATCTAACTGAAAGGCAATTTTTTT